GGTCGGGTTCGGTAGTCATCCTAACGGGTTCGGGCGGGTGCGGGTTGGTAAAACTCGACCCGTGCAGGACTCTAATCACGAGTACGCTTCCATCATGGGACCTTTGACCAATAAACTACCAAACCCCACACTCTCCATGACATGCTTCTTAAGCCGTGCGTCTCCTGACCTGCAGGGGACATCACACAAGACGCGGTCGTAGAACAGGATGTCCTTCTTGCCGTCCGAGTCGATCTGCAGCATGGGGATGCAGGAGGCGTCGTGGTTCACCACCATGATGCAGGGACTGTTGAGACGCTTGGCCTGGTGAACCAGCAGGTAGCAGCGTTTGTTGTCGACGTCGTTGGCGATCACGAAGCCCTCTAAACGGGTGGAGGCGAGGGATTAAATGGTAGGTCATTAAACGATAAGAGGGAAGTGGGTTAAACTGCAGCGGATTCCTAGTGGTTACCTGGAAACGGGACGTCCATGTCAGAGTGAAGCATCTCGATCAGCTGAGCCGTCTTTGAACCAGGAGCTGCACACATATCCAGGATCTGAACAGTAAAGCAGGTCAGTATTTAGACTTAAAGCTGATTTAGACCTGCAGATAACAGTTTGAAAGGGACGACAACATGAAGCTGTTATCTTTTTATGTGTTATTAGCTTTACTAACACCTTGTGATGGGACTCTATCTTCAGGAGCAGAGGAGGGATCATGCTGACGGCTTCCTGTCTGCTGATGTTACCCTTCAATGACACACAATAAAATCACATTAAACGTTTACAGAAAAAAGTTTTAATCGACAGGAGATAAAAGTGTTCACTCACAGACTCGGTCTCGCTGACCAAGAACTGATGAAACTTCTCCAGCAGGGGAGACTTCCTGATGAGCTTCCTGCTCATGTTAGTGTGCCAGGCCTGCTCATCAGGATACCTTCAAAGAAGACGTGCAGTCAAATCGGAGTTTTATCGTGAATAAATCACGTTTAAAAAAAATAATTTTACCAGCTGAGAGGCTGTGGAGCTTCAATCTTCTGGCCGTCGATTTCCAGCTCTTGAATATCCTTGAAGTATTTTTCCTTCAGACAGTGGAGGATCTCCTTAGCATGGCTGGAAAAGGATAGAGGTAGGTGGGGGGTGAAGAAATGTGATACTGTCTGTACATTAAATATGTGGGAAGATTTTTAGAAATGTCCTCAATTCAACACAACAAGGAAGATGGCAACAACTATTGAACAGTTCTCATTTAACTCAGCTTTGGAATCAGTGTTGGAAGGATTAGACTTGGGTTTTTCATTGAAACGTGAGCAGGAAGATGCTCTACCCTCATTCATTTTTAAGAAGGACATATTCGCCGTTTTACCGACAGGCTGTATGTTTATACACCCCACCGGCTTTCTGTGGCGCTTATTACATTACAGTCAGTTGCGCTCATTTGTCAGAGCATTGGCCAATAGGCACAGACATGGTTCGAAAAACAACAGGTTGTTCTCGTCAACAATCTTCCGATGTCTCATTAATCGGGGCCAGACTAAATAACACATTTAATCTCACATTTAGTCAGGTTTATCAGACTAGAACCCTTGCACATAAATGTCCATAAACAGGACCAGGTATGGTCATTCACCTCTTATATCCGGTGATGCGGATGGTTGCAGGCAGGGGCTCCCTCATGGCCTCCATA